TGAAAGCACGCCCATCTACTATGCAGGTTGCAATGGCCAGAGCTCTTGAATTCGAATTCAACGTTAAGTCCATCACAGAGATACCAAGGTTTGTACAGTCATCAGGATTCAAGGCCAGAAAAGGGCAGCTTTCAGACAGTTTTGAGGGATTTTGCTGGCACTGTAATAAACCTGGGCACAAGAGAGCTCAATGCTGGCAACTTAAACACAGGGGATATGCCACGGCAGAAAAGGCTGCTACCCAGATAGATTGTTGGAACTGTGGAGAGCAAGGACATATGAGGAGCCAGTGTAAAAAGAATATTACCAATAAGTCAGCCTCAAGGAAACCAGTAGTGGTTCGTGTTGATAGACGCCTACAAACCCCCAGTTGTGAAAGTCCCAACAGCTAGGTGTAAAATGCCAAGCACATATAGTGTCTACGTGACAAGAAAGCTGGATGGCCAAAGGTGACCCTTTGTCATAGATTCTGCGTCCCAGCAAACCCTTGTGAGTATCAAGGTGCTGGATCACAAAGGAGTACCAGAAGCTGTACAGAAGCTCTGTGGTGTGACCAGACATTATGCAAGGTTGTGGGGACCAGTGTGGATAACTATCGAGCTCATGGGTATGAAGAACAGACAGAAAGTATACTTGGCTGACATTGAAGACCAATGCATATTAGGATTGGACTATTTACTACCAAGGAAGTGTGTAGTTAACTTCGATAAAATGACGTTTGGAAACAACAAAGGCCAGATTCCAGTAAGTGTTGCTGCATCCGTTGATCTGCATGTCACAGCACTTAAGTCAACTACAATACCCCCAATGTCAGAGAAGATAATTTGGGGTAGGATAAAAGAACATCCCCAAGGCTTGTGGAAGCAGTGGAAGACCCATCTAGGCCAGCAGATTTGAAGATTGGAAGGTCACTTGTAGCAGATCATCAAGTAGTACCTATAACAGTAGCTAATTTCTCTAAATCTGAGCAAACAACTTAAGGAAGGGGCACTGTTCGGTGTGTGCCAGGAGTTAGAGCCAGTTAATGTTAAAGCAAGAAATACAACTATAAAGAAAGGACATACACTTCCAGAACATTTAACTGACCTCCATTAGAAGAGCATAGTCCATTTGGCATAATCACAGGCTCTTCAGGTAAAAGAACTTTTGGCAAATTATGCAGACGTCTTTTCGAAAGGAGATCATGACCTCGGCTGCACAAACCTTGTAGAGCACAGAATAAACACAGGCAATCACCATCCAATAAAGATCCCTCCGAGGAGATTAGCTCCACCAAAGCGACAAGAGATAGAGAAGGTCATGGATGGTCTAATTAAGGAAGGGATAGTCGAGAAATCAGATAGTCCCTGGTCAGCTCCCGTTGTATTTGTCCAGAAGAAGGATGGGACCCAACGTTGCTATGTGGACTTCAGGGCTTTTAACAGTATAACCAAAAAAGACTCATACCCACTGCCAAGAACTGATG